AGCCGTAGGATACCCCAAGGGTGAAATAATGTGTACACATTTGACAGACAAGATTATAATTATTGCTGGAAAATAATAATGTTGTAAAAAAGCAAGATTTTTTTTTATTTTTGTATGAGATAATTATTTTTGGTATAATTATATAGGAAAAAATAATAATAATGTGGGGGTACACTACGGCTTTCCATACTATATGTAGGAAATAATAATAATGTGGAGGTACCTAAATTATTACTGTTTCAGAAAAATAATAATGTTATAAAAAAAAAAGCAAGATTTTTATTTTGGGGTAACATTTTTATATTTGGTATAATTATATAGGAAATAATAATAAAATGGGGGTTACACTACGGCTTTCCATATATTCCACATAATTAGTCAGAACTGTAAACTGCTTAAACTCCATTACAAAAGTCTCATTTTGAGAGTTTGATGGATTTGATTTGTTCATTGAGGATCTAATTTTTGTCTTAGATTCCTAGGTCACTTTTTATTTATACTAAGAAGTTTCTAATCTAAAATTCATTTCTATTCAAAAAAGTTTTCGTTTCATTGAAAATTTAAATTCTATTTTAATTTATTTGTAAAGAATCAACATTTTTGGCGTTCTTAAAACTATGACCAAACATTTAAAAAAAAACAAAGGCAGAAAGGTACTAATAAAAATTCTTTGCTTCAAAGTGCACCAACAATTCTTAAAACTGATTAGGAGTTTTTGTTTTGCAGAAAAATGGAAATTGTTTAGCTAACTTTTACGGTTCAAAAGAACTATCTAATTATAATACCAATTAAGAAATAAAAATGCATGATCTAGAAAAAAAATCAAATTGCACAAAGAGCAAGAAAAGAAAAGGTATTATTTTTGAAGGTCAGAAGCTTTTTTTACAGACATTTCAGTTCTCCTGACAGTTCCATTTTGTAAGTGTAAGTTAGAGAGTTCTCGAAAAGATTTTTCATCGTTCTAAAAGCCAGTCCTTAAAAACTCCAAGGAACTTGAAAGAAATTGAAATGATCACAAAATTTACCAAAATCAATAGCATCTTTATATGAAACGTACGATTTTTCAACACTTAATACAAACATTCCCCACGATAAATTAAAGACAAGGTTTATTAACACCATAGACAACTGCTTCTTCAACGAAAATTTGAACTCACATTTAAATACCTTGTCATTGGCCTTCTGCAAACTTATTTCATTAAAACACTCTTATTCTACACAAAAGTACTCCGAGGTTGATAGTATTAAAAAGATGCTTGAGTTCTCGTTGACAATATCTATTTAGTTTTGTACTTTTCAGAGACCAGGTCTTCCAACAATTTGTTGGAATTCCCATGGGTCGTTATTACTGTATTCAATGTAGCAGAATTTCTTCAAAGACTTCTTTATGAAAAGAAGAAGTCTCTTGCTTCAGCCTTCAATTCGACATTTAATCCTCCTAGGCACCTGATCCCACCTCTGGATTTTTTGGGGCTCCGTGTTGTATGCTCTGTTCACATATTTGTTACAGTTTTGCGATCGATCACTGTTCGTTATCTTCAACTTATATATTCGATATATCGACGACGTTTTATCAATTAACATTCAATTAACAATATTCATTTTCATTCCTACGTTGATTCCCTATATCCCACTGAACGTCTCTACATGAGTGAAAAATTGTGAATGAGACCTTAAATAACATACAATCAATCAATATCATTGAACTCGACACAGCACACGGAGTCTGACACATCTACATGTGTTTCATTTTGGAAATTTTACTAGAGAAAGACATTGATGCAAACTTACAGCTAAATTTTATAATAAACTTTATAACTTCAACTTTTCTATCGTCAGCTTCCCTTATTTATGTAGCAAATATACCATTATCACCTGCACATGGAATTTATGTCTCCCAGTTGATTCGATACACAAGAACATGTTCTATCTACAAACGAATTTTAAAACGAGGCAGACTATAAACAAATAAGTTGATGATACGATGATACCAACAATCTCATTTAAGTCAACATTTCGAAAATTTTATGGTCTATACAATGACCTTGTTTGCAATTACAATCTGTCATTAAGTGGAATGTTGACTGACTTTTATCAATCACATTGACAAATTGTTAGGCCATTATTTTCACACTGATTTGTGAATTCGTTAACGATTTTGCATTCAGTGGTGTCAAGAAAAAGAAAGCAATGATTTTTTTTTTTTTTGGCTCTCATATTGAAAACACATTATATTAAAATAAAGTGCCTTTCCTATAGATTTGAAATATTTCATTAAAATTGATATCAAACTGCATGCTTTATCGTGATTAGATGGATTACAAGATCCAAAAAAAAATGTCCAGAGTCTAAAATGACGTGCAAATATAAGATCCAGTCGTTTTTCTAGGGGTTAAATTCTAATTTTTTCATCCATTACAAAATTAAGCATATGTTCATAATTTGCTAATTCAAACCTTCAGAATGAATGTCCGATTGATTATTTTACTCAGTTAATTCATTTTTTACTCAGCATATAAAAGGTTCAACATATATTTGTCCATTGCATGTTCTTAACGCGTAATTCGTTTTGCTTTAACGAAATGCACGAAAATGCGTTTAAGACTGGTTTGAGTAATTGACAAACTTTACCATGCATAATTCGAGAGTGCCCTTTTTGTTCATTTGTTTGATTACAAACAGTCTGTGATTTTTAAATCTTATTTCTAGTGCAAAGCTATAGCGCTAGGGCACCAGTAATGCTACTAGCACTATTAAAAGCGTTACGTCAATACTTCCGTAGCGTTATTGATTCGTAAAAATGAACGTAACTAACATCAAGCGTAACGTCAATAACCGATTTTCTCCCATTTCTGTTATGTTTTTAACAAACTCTTTTTTCTCTGTATTGAATTCTCACTTAATATTTTTCATTTCAGTTGTAACTTTACACATTTTGTCAGCAAAGATAAAACCAACTGGATAACTAGGATAAAGAAAAATTCAAAGAAATAATGCATTTTCACGATATGATTAATAGAGTCTCACCCTAATACCAGAGCCCTGACCCAGGGGCCGAGAAATTTTGGAAGAAGCACCCTTGCTCATCATAACCATGCACTAATTTAAAACATTTTTACTAAATACAGTTGTACCCAGGGCAGAGAAGATTTTCAAAGAAATAATGCATTTTCACAATATATTCAGCTGAGCCCCATTCTAACACCAAAACCCTTGACCCTATGAATTTCATAATTTGGAAGAATCATCCTTGTCTTTTATACCTTGCAATTAGTTTGTCTGCTAAAGACCCAGGGGCTAATAAGAAGATATTTACAGAATACATTTTCATGATCTAATCCATAGAGCTCTGCCCTAACACCAAAACCCCTGACCCAAGGGTCATGAAATTCACAATTCTGGAAGATGAGCCGTTGCTCATCATAAACAGGCACTTGGTTTATCTGCTAAACACCCAAGGGCAGAGAAGAAGATTTTCAAAGAATTACTGCATTTTCACGATATGATAAATAGAGCCCTACTTAACACCAGAACTCCTGATCCAAGGGCCTTGAATTTAACAATGTTGGAAGAAACATCCTTGCTTATCATAACTATATATACACTAAGTCTGTTTGCTTAATTCCCAGAAGCAGAGAAGAATTCCAAAGAAATAATGCATTTTCACTATATGTATATATATATTCAATAGAGCCCCCCCCCCTCAAACCCCCGAACCTCTGACCAATTGGCCATGATTTTGCACAATTTTGAAGAGGCACCCTTGCTCATCATAACCATACACTTGGTTTGTCTGCTAAATACCAAGAAGCAGATATTCAAAGGGGCTATGAAATTCAGAATTATTGAAGAGTCATTCTTTCTAATCATAACCATGCACTTTGTTTGCTCATTACCCATGAGCCGAGAAGATTTTCAAAGTATTAATGCATTTTCACTTTATTTTCAATAAAGCAACAACCCAATACCAGAACCCCTGACCCAGGGGCCTTGAATTTCACAACTTTGGAAGAAACGCCATTGCTTATCATAACCATGCACTATTTTGTCTGCTAAAGAAGCTTTAGATGGAATTTACCGGTATGATTTTCACCATATGATCAATAAATCCCCATCCTAAACCCATAACCCCTGACCTTGGGGCCATGAATTTCAAATTTTGGTAGAGGGTTTATTACTTATAACAATCATGGTAACAGTTTACTGCTTGATGCCCAGGAGTAAAGAAGATTTTTTAAGATTTCGCATGAAATTCATTTCTGTTCCCCTTTACCCACTGATGCCATTTGCCAAAATTGGTGGAAATTGGTTCAGCGATTCCAGAGAAGAAGTGAAAATGTTCAAACGTTAACACACAACGTCGGTGCAAACCACACAACAGAAGCAAGCAAATAGCAATAGGTCACCTGAGTGACTCATGAGACCTAAAAATTACACATCCAACTTTGAATACAGAACTTCATAGCTGTTCATTTATCAAACATAAGTGCTCTTATCAAGGAGAGTGAATGCAACATAACAGTAGCACAGCACTCTATGGTGCAGCTTTTCATGACAAAACTGAGAGAAATGTTAAAAGTTACAGGTATTTCCTTTCATTTTATTTATGTAAACTAATATATAAAATAAAATGCTTTAAAAATAAAATACGTATATATATGTTAAACTACTTGTTACAACAGTAAAATTTTATTTACACTAAAGAAGACTAACAATATGAAAATGTTATATTGCACTTTGATACAGTATTTAAGGATTTCTCACATAAAACTATTGAGATTAAATATCATTTAACATAGAGCTGAACCTAATTGAACATCTTGGGTCCTGAACATTGTATAAAACTTCAATTACACCATTTCACAAGCATTCAATATTTTTCTAGAAGCAGTTAAAAAAAATTTAAAAATCAACAGCAAGGAACTCAAATAGATTTGCTCAATATATTTGAACAGTAATATGAATAACAGAAAATTTATCTTTTAAAAAATATCTCACATAAATTCATATTAATAACTTTTGAAAATTTAGTAAACTTTCTTTTATTTGAAAATAAATTAAAATGTATGATCACAAATCTTTGTTTAAAAATGCAACTAAATAACAAAATCATGGTATTCTTTACAACAAACAAAACAAAACTTGTGACAAAAAAATCATTGCCTTAAATTACATCGTAAGTAATATTTAGCCAAATATTTGGGCTAATTTTGGGGGGCAATGTTCCTCAATTCTTCTGAGGCCTAATTCGTCCATAATAGCCTCTTTGGCTTCCATTTTGCGATAATGTTGCAGACGTCGCTGCCATTGTGTAGCTAGAATTATGGCACACACTTCATCATTTCCACCAGACTCTGGTGCTAGCAAGCCCTACAAAAAAATCAACTCTGAATGTCACACTTACGCTTTAATACTAGGATCAAACTGATAAATCCATCAAAAAAGTAAACAAATGGTTAGACATGATTTTTGTCTTTTTCTTACTAGGTTCACCTTAGCATAAAGGTAGCTCAACATAGCGTGTGAAAAAAATAAAAATTTGAGTATGCATTTTGCATAAATTCTAGATCATGTCTACATGACTTGTGAATGTGTTATTAATCTGTTTAGTAAACATAAAATTGGATATTAGATTTTTTTTTTTTTGCTGCGACACTGACATATCACATGTCTTCGATGTATTCTTACAACAGATCTGAATTAAAAAAATCTCTCTAAATTAAGCAGTTCATGAACTTGTTAATTCAAAACAAGACGGAATTAAATGGTATTTCACGTCAGGGGTCTGGAAGTCTCATGTCATTTGAATTAGTACAAAGTATTCAGTGGGTTTTTTTTCGAAGACATTTTTACTCATAAACATATAAACAAGTACCCTCCTATATTCTTATATAAAACTTTCAATAAACCGAGAACAAATTCACAACAAGCGAATTTTTTGTTATGTAGAGACGACTATAAACGGCTAGGAGGTGGATAAAATATACAGGTTGATTATAGAATATGTCTAGAATCAGGGAATGAAAGGTCGTTGATTGCCCAATGCTGGAAAGTGGCGAAATACATCCTCAAAGAGCGCAGAAAATCTTGCGCCGTAAATTACACTTTATTTACATTACGGGATCAGTAGCGTTGTGGTCAAAGACAAAAATATAAAACCATAACGCTACAGTTCTGCAGCTACAACCAATCAAAAGTTATTGGAAAGGTTTTTTGCGGACAAACATACAAATAGACAGACAGAGCAAAAGCTATATGCCCCTGAATCTTCGATTACAGGGGCATAAAAACGTTAAGGCAGCAATGTAGTTCTTAGGAGCCAGGTCATTTCTAATTACATCCCTACTCTGTATACTGAATTTAAAAATACAATTCAGTGTAGTCTCCATTGCTTCTTCAAAAATTTGATCAAATATTAATTTAATAATTAATATACTGATACACAAAGAAATCATTAGTCTGAAATATTTAACAATTATGTATGCACATTTCAACGAAACATTCTAAACGCAGAAGAGATCACATTATTATGTTCCCCAAATGAAGGTTGGGAACATATTGTTTTTACTCTTTTTCTTACTATAATCATTTTTTTCTTCCTGGGTACTTTTTTGCCCGTGAGTGATTTCGGAAACTACTCATCCGATTGAGTTGAAATATTCTTAGGGTTAATAGGCATATGTAAATGTAGATGTGCGGAACGAAGGTCATTTTGCGCACTTTGGGAAAAGACCAATTTTGCACATTTTGGGAAATGACCAATAAACTTGATATAGCTATAACTTTTATATTTTTTGATGAAATGCTTTAATATTCAGAATATGAAGATATATTATTCATGTAGACAAGAAGATATTGTCATCATGAACATGCAATACGTAAAAAGACAAATATACTTTATTACTGTATTTAACGGGAGATAATATACAATTATGGACTCTTTCGATGGTGAATATGGTTTGTTGTTCACCAGAAAAATATCAATATTGACCGAGGCGAAAGCCATAACTTTTATACTTTTTGATGAAATGCTTCGAAACTCAGAATATATAAATATATTAAAAGCGATACTCTGAATATATAAATATATTTAAAGTTTAAACAAGACAATATGGTCATCATGCACATGCATGCACATACATGCACATGCGCACGTGCATTGATTAAATGACCAATATTCTTGATATAGCCACAACTTTTATACTTTTTAAAAAGATGAAAAGCGTTGACACTAAGTTTATTAAGATATATATCAGTAGTATAGACAAGATGACATGGTCATCATGCACATGCATGCTCGGCATGCGTGCAATGCTAATATGACAAATATACTTGATACAGCCGTAGTTTTGTTTTTTTTAAGGTCACCTGAGTGACTCAGGTGACCTAATGCTATCCATTTTTGTCTGTTATCGTGCGTCGTCCGTCGTGCGTTAACATTTGAACATTTTCAGCTTCTTCTCTGAAACCGCTAAACCAATTTTTGCATATAGCATCTACAGGTGAATGGGCACAAAAAATGTGAATTTTAGGATCCCTGCCCTCCCTCTGGGGCCTGAGGGAGGGGGGGGAGGGCTAAAACCACCAAAATTAATGCAATCTTTAAAAATCTACTTTTTTACTCCTGGGCATCAAGCAGTCGTACTGTTGACATGATTATAATGAGCATTGACCCCTCTACCCAAATTGTGAATTTCATGGCCCCTGGATCAGGCATTCTGGTGTTAGGGCAGGGCTCTATTGATCATATATTGAAAATACATCAATTCTTTGAAAATCTTCTTCTCTGCTCCTGGGTATTAAATAAACTAAGTACATAGTTATGATGAGCTAGAGAGCCTCTTATAAATTTGTGAATTTCATGGCCCCAGGATCAGGGGTTCTGGTGTTAGGGCGGGCTCTACTGAATACATGTATATAGTTAAAATACATTTATTCATTGAAAAATCTTCTCTGTTCCTGGGTATTAAACAAACTAACTAAGTACATAGTTATGATGAGCAAGGATGCCTCTTCCAAAATTGTGAATTTCATGGCCCTAGGTTCAGGGGTTCTGGTGTGAAGGCAAGGCTCTATTGATTATATAGTGAAAATGCATTGATTCTTTGGAAATCTTCTTCTCTTCTTTGCACCAGCTGGGTATTATTTAAACACTTAGGAATTGCATGGTTATGATAAGCAAGGATGCTCTTCCAAATTTGTGACATTCATGGCCCCAGGGTTGGGAGTTCTGGTGAAGGGAAGCTCTATTGATCATATAGTAAAAATGTGTAATTTCTTTCAAAATATTTTTTCTACTCCTGGTTATGAAGCAAAGAAACGAGTGTATAGTTATAATGAGCAATGGTGTTTCTTCCACAATTGTGAGTTTCATGGCCCCTGGGTCAGATGTCCTGTTGTAAGAGTGGGGCTTTATTAATAATATAGTGAAAATGCATTAATTCTATTAAATATTCCTATCTGCTCCTGAGTAGTAAGCAGATAAACAAAGTGCATAGTTATAATGAGAGAGGGTGCTTCTTACAAAATTTTCAAAACATGTGGTCCCAGGGATTATGGTGTTTCTTTGGGGGAGAGGGGGGGATCTATTGATAATATGGTACGTGAAAAGAAGAAAACACTTGCTGTGGCGTTCAACTCGACATTTAGATATATCGACGACGTATTGTCAATTAACAATGGCTATTTTCATTCTTATGTCGATACGATATATCCTGGTGAACTTGAGATAAAAGATACCACAGAGTCTGACACATCTGTTTCATATTTGGATATTTTACTTGAACAAGAGGCCCATGGGCCACATCGCTCACCTCAGCACATTGGCAAGGCAAAAGCACAAATCAGTTCAGTACTGAAAAGATTACGGGGGGGGGGGGGGGCTTGAATTTTAAACTACCTGATGATGCTTCCATGTCAATATATAATTTGTTTAATTTGTTTTAACAAATGGCTTCGTTGTACTTGAGAAGATTTTTTAAAAAATTCCCATATATTCCTCTGTAAAAATGTGATCCCCCATTGTGGCTCCTCCCTATCCCAGGGGTCATCATTTGAACAAACTTGAATCTACACTACCTGAGGATGCTTCCATATCAATATGACTAAACATAGCTTTTCTGTTCTTGAGAAGAAATTTTTTTCTATATGTTCCTATGTAAAACTTTCGATCCCCTTATTGGGTCCCACCCTACCCTCGGGGGTCATCATTTAAACAAAATTGAATTGATACTACCTGAGGATGCTTCCATATCAAAATGACTAAACATGATTTTCAGTTCTTGAGAAGAAGATATTTTCCTATATGTTCCTATGTAAAATTTTCGATCCCCCATTATGGCCCATCCCTATCCCCTGGGGTCATCATTTTAACAAACTTGAATCTACACTACCTGAGGATGCTTCCATATCAAAATGACTAATCATGGCTTTGCAGTTCTTCATCAGAACATATCTTCCTATATATTTCTATTTCAGACTTTTATCCTCCATTGTGGCCCCACCCTACCCCCGGGGGTTATGATTTGAACAAACTTGAATCTACACTACCTGAGGATGCTTCCACATAAATATGATCAATCAGGACTTTGCTGTTCCTGAGAAGAAGATATTTAAAGATTTTTCCTATATATTTCTATGTAAAACTTTGATCCTCCATTGTGGCCCCGCCCTACCCCCGGGGGGTCATGATTTGAACAAACTTCAATCTACACTACCTGAGGATGCTTTCATATAAATATGACCAATTAGGGCTTTGCTGTTATTGAGAAGAAGATTTTTAAAGATTTTTCCTATATATTTCTATGTAAAACTTTGATCCTCCATTGTGGCCCCGCCCTACCCCCGGGGGGTCATGATTTGAACAAACTTCAATCTACACTACCTGAGGATGCTTTCATATAAATATGACCAATTAGGGCTTTGCTGTTATTGAGAAGAAGATTTTTAAAGATTTTTCCTATATATTTCTATGTAAAACTTTGATCCTCCATTGTGGCCCCGCCCTACCCCCAGGGGTCATGATTTTGACAAATTTGAATCTACACTACCTGAGGATGCTGCCACATAAATATGACCAATTAGGGCTTTGCTGTTATTGAGAAGAAGATTTTTTAAAGGTTTTTCCTATATATCTCTATCTAAAACTTTGATCCTCCATTGTAGCCCTGCCCTACCCCCGGGGGTCATGATTTGAACAAACTTCAATCTACACTACCTGAGGATGCTTCCATATAAATATGACTCATCATGGCTTTGCTGTTATTGAGAAGAAGATTTTTAAAGATTTTTCCTATATATTTCTATGTAAAACTTTGATCCTCCATTGTGGCCCCGCCCTACCCCCGGGGGGTCATGATTTGAACAAACTT